AATGCTAATGTCTGTGACTGTGCGCTCTTACGCATGCTATGGATGTAGGTGTTTTTGCTACCCGGCGAAGAAATAAAAAATGAAATCAACAAGACGAGCCAAACCACGTACATTGTTAAGACTGGCCACTGTAATATCAGTGTCAGGTGATCACTCACCTTCATTTCTGCACTGTTATATCATGTTTTAATTATATAAGTCATCTTTATTTCAGTGGGTTTGTTATAAGCAGCCAGTTCTATAAAATCGTATGAAGTTTATTTTAAGAAATTTCACTTTTTACATTTAAAAGTACTTACAGTGAGGGAAAGTAGTATTTGATCACCTGCTGATTTTGTGCGTTTGCCCACTGAAAAAGAAATGATCAGTCTATAATTTTAATGGTAGGTTTATTTGAACAGTGAGAGACAGAATAACAAAAAAAATCCAGAAAAACGCATGTCAAAAATGTTATAAATTGATTTGCATTTTAATGAGGGAAATATGTATTTGACCCCGAGACGCAGAGCTCTGACATCAACATCATAGATTTTGCCAGGCGGATTGGAACGATTTAAGATTTCTAAGACTTCTAAAGGTGAATGAAATCTTGTGTAGGTCTAGTTGCTGTGGACGTGACTTCCAGTGTAGTCTACATATGTGGGGCAGTATTCCCTGATCCTGGTGTCGCACTGCACATTGTAGAATCTCACACACCCAGTTCAGCTTGTCAGCTTATTAAGAGGTCCTTCACGAGGACGAAACGTGGGTTTTGCAGAAGGAAAGGGGAAAAAAAAAACACATGCAATGCAATTTCATTGCAATTCAAAAACATACATTTCAGAAGGGAAAACATCTGACCTAAGACAGAATAATAAGAGGCGAGTTGAGCTCAAACAGTACGGACAACATGCAAATGTTCAAACTAAGCATGATGGGAACGTTTGCATACACGCCGGTGATACTGGAGCATTATTACATATCAAAGTATGCATTTAGATTACCAGTATAAAATATACCTTTTTAAAGCTTGTGTGTACATGTGTGTGTGTGTGTGTGTGTGTGTGTGAATGCTGTGTTTGTTAATACTATAGTGTGTGTGTGTGTGTGTGTGTGTGTGTGTGTGTTTACGCTGTAGTGTCTGCAGGCAGACACCGGGCAGGTTTAACCACACCCAATATGAATTGGAGAATAAAACGAGCACCTGATAGATGCAATAGACGTAATAGATGCGATAGACATAATAAATGTGATAGACGTAATAGTAGTAGATGTTATAGATGTGAGAGATGTAATAGATGTAACATGTAATAGATGTAATAGGTGTAACAGATGTGATAGATGTAACAGAAGTGATGGATATAAGATGTGATAGATGTGACAGATGTAACATGTGATAGATGTAACAGAAGTGATAGGTGTAACAGGTGTGATTGATGTAATAGATGTGATGGATGTGATAGATGTGACAAGTGATGGATATAAGATGTGACAGATGGGACAGATGTAACAGAAGTGATGGATGTAACAGGTGTGATTGATGTAATAGATGTGATGGATGTGATAGATGTGACAGAAGTGATGGATGTGACAGAAGTGATGGATGTAATAGATGTAACAGATGTGATAGATGTGACAGAAGTGATAGATGTGACAGAAGTGATAGATGCGACAGAAGTAATGGATGTAACAGGTGTGATTGATGTAATAGATGTGATGGATGTGACAGAAGTGATGGATGTGACAGAAGTGATGGATGTAATAGATGTAATAGATGTGACAGAAGAGATGGATGTAAGATGATAGATGTGATGGATGTAACAGATGTGATAGATGTAACAGAAGTGATGGATGTAACAGATGTAATAGATGTGATAGATGTGACAGAAGTGATGGATGTGACAGAAGTGATGGATGTAATAGATGTAATAGATGTGATAGATGTGACAGAAGTGATGGATGTGACAGAAGTGATGGATGTAATAGATGTAATAGATGTGACAGAAGAGATGGATGTAAGATGATAGATGTGATGGATGTAACAGATGTGATAGATGTAACAGAAGTGATGGATGTAACAGATGTAATAGATGTGATAGATGTGACAGAAGTGATGGATGTAACAGAAGTGATGGATGTGACAGAAGTGATGGATGTAATAGATGTAATAGATGTGATAGATGTGACAGAAGTGATGGATGTAACAGATGTGATGGATGTGAAAGATGTGACAAGTGATGGATGTAACAGAAGTGATGGATGTAACAGAAGTGATGGATGTAACAGATGTTATGGATGTAACAGATGTGAAAGATGTGAGAAGTGATGGATGTAACAGAAGTGATGGATGCAACAGATGTGATGGATGTAATAGATGTGAAAGATGTGACAGAAGTGATGAATGTAACAGAAGTGATGGATGTAACAGGTGTGATGGGTGTAACAGGTGTGATGGCTGTAACAGATGTGATGGATGTGATATTTGTTACCACCGACAGTGTGCCTCAGATTAGCCATGTATCTGATATTTGATAATATGTCAAGCACATTTTTATAACCAAATTACACTCAGGTGTTTGCCTTTTTTTTTTTTTTCTCAAACTGGACCCCCCTGTTTGGACCCCCCCCCCCCACCCGCCACACCCACACCCAGTAAAGGCTGGCTTTGGCTTTTGCACACTCACTGTACAGCCCAATGCGCTCCTAGTATCTATCCCATGCAGAAGCAGGGTTTTCTGTATAACACATTACTATATCATGGCATAGACACGTTTATATATAACTGTCCGCATACACGGCCATCTGTCTGTCCTTCCTGCGTATGTTAGTCACATGTGCGTTAGTTCTAGTCCTCGCAGGATCATTCTCTCGTTACCGGTGCAGACAATAACAGCTTACAAGACAAGAAGAGCAGCAGCAGGGCGTGAGTCCTGAATCGCAGCCGCCTCTGGGTGGCTCACCATCCAAAACCCCCCATCCTTCTCTCCCCCATTCTTCAACACAGTTAACAACCCGTGTTTAATTATAAACTACATGAACAGACTTACCCAAAATGCAACACGGAGAATCCTCTTGGCTCCTATTGAGAACGAACCGACACTTCTTCCAGATGAAATCCAGTAAATATCCAAACGTTTCAGCACTTAAACCGTCCCTACACTCAATCACGTTCTTCCTTTATTGTTATTGTTTCTTTATTCATTTAATGACTGTTATTATTATTGGTGTTATTATTATTATTATTCATTATTTCAGTCTTGCGTTACGGACACATCTCTGAGCTTTCTCCCATTCTCTCTCTCTCTCTCCGTGTAGGGAACTGTGGCGTGCTCCTAGCGTCCAATTTCCTGCCCCGCCCACATTTCAGATTCAACGAATCAACGGCTCCAGCGGCGTTCTAAGTCCCACCCATATTACCAACAAACAGACCAATCAACTGTTCTAAAGGCGCGTCGTTCGTTTCGGAGCACGAGCGCATCCGTTGTCCGCGTCGCCAAACGGTTACTATCCGGCTGCGGGCAAATCCGCATTTAAACGTAACCTAGGTTACCAAGTGTAAACAAATGAGCACTATTTAAGCGTACTACGTAGTGCTTTAGTGTGCGATTTGCGACGCAAATGTCATCGCATGAAAAACGCCTGTTTGTATGTTGTTCAGTGTTATACGCTATGTTCTTTTATATATGGTATTGTTTAATGTTACTGTCACTGGGATGTGGATTAGTGGAGCTGAGTTACACAAATCATAGATGTGCAAAGTTACGTCAGGGAAGGCTACCTCAGGAGATGTACGTTCTTCCGGTTTTGGTGTAAAGAGTCCATCACACAAACCACATGATGCATGCATCACACTGACTTTTATTTTAAATCATACATGCGTATTAATGACGGATGTCGTAAACATATTTAGTATTAGTCATTCATCCATGTATTACAGGTACACTGAGTATGCTTCTCATTAAACATTTAGGGCATCTCTGTAGGCTGGATGTCCTGCAATAGTAGGACATAATGGTAGGAGAAAGCTTGGTGTTGTTCTCCACCTAGTGGTAGTTTGTGATTCTGTCATCTATAAAACATTGCTCTGGGGGCCCATATGTGCCGCACAGTAATTAATTAATACACTGATGAATCGATTGACAAAAACAGTGTTTGAAGTGAAAATTATCTACTAAAATAATTCTGTACTAAATGTGTGTGTAGAAAGGGCATGGTGTAGCAAATAATCCAAATAGCATAAATTCAGCACAAACTACATTTACTGCCATGGCTGTGTTTGAATAATAATAATAATAATAATAATAATAATAATAATAATTAATCTAAACATTAACAATAACAATATTACAGAGATAACAACCCTGCTGGGAGAAAAAACCCAATAGAACCCATCACAGAAATTCAATGGTTTCTACTACAAATGGAAAATTTTGCACTTATATAGGTGCACTGGTTCTCATTCACCCATTCACACACACCAATGGTAGCAGAGCTGTCCTGCAAGGCGCTAACTTGCCATCAGGAGCAACTTGGGGTTCAGTGTCTTGCCCAAGGACACTTCGGCATGTGGGCCGGGAATCGAACCACATTAGTGGACAACCCACTCTACCACCTGAGCCACAGTTGCCCAAATACAATTACAAACCATCAGCTAACCATTAAAACCATTACCTTTATTGGTCCCTAACGGGATCCACTAGGCATGACATACCACCAATAGCAGGCAACAAATTACCAGTGGAGACCCACAGGGACCATCCATCCATCTCTACCGCTTATCTTTCAGGGTCGCAGGGAGCCTGTAGCCTCTCCCACGGAGCATTGGGCACAAGGCGGGGTACACCCTGGACAGGGTGCCAATCTATCGCAGGGCACAATCACATAGACGTTCACATACCCATTCATACACTACGGACATTTTGGACACGCCAATCAGCCTACCATGCATGTCTTTGGACTTGTGGAGGAAACCGGAGTACCCTGAGGAAACTCCCACAGCACAGGGAGAACATGCAAACTCCACACACACAGGACAATCGAACGCCCAACCCTGGTGGTGTGAGGTGTACGTGCTAACCACTAAACCACTGTGCGCCTCCCACAGGGACCATTACAATTTAAATTAAAACCAATACAATTCGCATTATAATCATTAAAACATCACAAATTCTGTGAGAGTTTCTACTGTTTTTTTTCCCAGCAGGGAAGAACATCAACAACAAGAACAGTAAAAACCAACAATAGGTACAACAGTTATAACAGGATTGGGTGGTAGAAGTGTGTGTGTGTGTGTGTGTGTGTAGTGGCGGATGTTACCCATTGTCTCTCAATCTGTAACAGGTCACGTATTTCACGTATCCTACTCAACAGTTGTGGTTGCGTCCATCAATCCCCCATAAATCACGAACTACTGCGATGTCACTAGAGGGCGCTGTTAACCTTAACCCGTTTTCCTGAGGTCATAACCGCATGCTCCCATACATACAAATTGTGAGTCACGTTACTGAATCGAGTCTTTTGAACGAACCAATGTAAGTGAATCTACAGTGTAGTGTTCACTCCGACAATTTCAAATCCAGTACAGAAACAAACAGATAATGGATTATTTTTTCATTCGAGCAAATTAAGTGAAATTTACCTTCCTGCCTCTGACCTCAAAACTAATTCACGATTGTTACTCCTGAATAAAAAAACATTGTAATCTTGTTGGTATTTTTGACCAAATCTCTTCAATGTTAGCATTTTAATATAATTTCGCGTATGTACAAAATATTATAGCTATTAATAATAATAATACACAAACGCCATGTACAAGCCCACTGTATTATTGTATTATGTGTATCTTTTAGACTCGTACATAATCCAGTTTAACGGCAAATAACATACACATGACTCGTTCCTGTTCGAGAATCAATTTGCTTGGTCACTTCAAAAGAGTCGACCAAAAAGAACCGATTCGTTAATTTAACCATTTCATGTAAAACAAACAAAAATATATACAACTGCCTACTGACTGCGGTGGCGCAAGGTAACAGTTAATGCGGAAGTAATTCGTTTGTGGCCATACATGTAGCCCACGCGTTATTTTATTGTTTATAATTAGCTTTAGCGACTATGTCCTACAACTTAACTAAGATGCCTGTTAACGTCACATGGTCTAACAGAGCTCCTGATTGGTCGGAGCCTTGTAAACGGTAGCATCCGGTTTCAAAAGTTAGTTGTCTAGCTAGTCATCATCCTAAATTGTCTGTAGAAATAAACTCCAACTGGATATAACACCGCATTAGAGAATATTTAGCTGCACACACACACACACACACAAAATAATAATTAAATAGTCTTGGCGTATCTGAATGGGGTTTTGAGATCAGTCGCTTATTAGATAACTAGCTAGCTGTTAAACAGGCTTAAGAGGATGTTACCCGGATGTACAGCACAGTAGACTAAAAATTATTGCATCATGCTGCTTTCCAAAACTGAGAAATACAATGTGCAAAGGTCTGATGAATCAGAACAATGAGTACAAAGTAGAAATAACTAGGGTCAAGGAAAAATAGGCAAGTAGATTTAAATTGACAGTTTTTTTTTGTTTTTTTTACTTTAAGAGTGTGTTAAAATATATTGCAAGGCATTCTGCTCTCAGTGTATGTGGAAATGTATTTGTCCTGTGGATTACTTTGATAGATCTTTGAAATGTCACTTTCACCACTTCTCCTCTGTGCTGTGTGAGATGTCTCTGGCGGAGTTATTGAAGATGCTCGGTCTCGGGGCAGTGGCTGTCGCATTAGGCCTGGAAGGGTTGGACTGGTTGCTGACTCGGTGTCTCTGGCCCAGAAGAGTTTCCCATCAGCCCCTGAAGGAGGTTCTCTTCTTTCCTTCACCGCCAGCGTGTGTGGAGCACTTGTACAATCCAGGCAGTCGTCACCCATGGTGACTTTTTCATTATACTGTGTTACAATTAAAGGAGCCTATCTGTGGTTCTGTATGTGCTGCATGTTTTTTTTTTTCCTTTGCTTTTGAAAGTTTTTTTTTTTTTTTACTTTCTTTGGCCCACAGTCTGTGTCCCCTCCCTCATGGCCTGGACACACCCTTCTCCAGACTCCTGGAGCACCTTCTCTCAGTGTGTGTGTCGCTGGACCTTTGTCTGTTCAACTTCTCCAACGCTGAGCTGAGCCGGGCCGTGCTGCGGTTACACAGCCAGGGTGTGCGGGTGCGAGTGCTCATAGATAGAGACTACATGGCTACCACTGGCTCTCAGATTGGCGTCCTACGCAAGGCAGGTACGGACAATGCAGGCACCTTGCAGATCCCTTTAGTTCATCAATGTCGTATAGTTACAACTTGCACCTCTGGAGCTGTGAGACTAATGATGCTAACGTTACTGGAAGCTTGATCATCATGCAAACTGCTTACCTAGATCATCATCATCACACACTTGTCTCAACGGTCATTTAATTCAGGAATACCATCTGAACATAAAATAGCAGAAGAATGAAATATAGTGCCCTCCATTAATATTGGCACCCTTGGTAATTATGAGCAAAGAAGGCTGTCAAAAAATGTCTTTTAATCTTTTTAACCTTTTAATCTTTTGTACAAAAAAATTCGCAAAAATAATTTGCTCTCGTGGATATCAAACAATTGCAAACACAACACAGGTTTATCCAAATAAAAAATTATAAAATAAAATCTTTGTTAAATATAGGTGTGCAACAATTGTTGTCACCCCTATGAATTCATATGAGAAAAATCTCTTTGATATTTTTCATTTTTTTGTGTAATTCACAGTGCATAACAGATTGCTGCATAAATAAATCATTAGAATTAAGTAAAAGAATCAACTGAGCAATATAATAAGATCAGATTAAGAAGGAAAATAGCTAAAGAACAATAGCAATGCTTTATCTGTGGCACAGGAGACTTAACGCGTGACTTCAAAATCATGACGGTTGGGGCGCACCTAACATGGGAGCTGGTTCCACCTGTGCGGACACACAAACAAATCATGCAATCTAACAAGTAGACGAGTGTAGCGAGTTAACAGGGTTTGGCTTTCTGGACAGAGAACATATAATCAGCATACTGCGCACAAAAATGATGTGCTTATATATTGCACTTGTATACAAGTATCAAGGCCAGTATTTCTTAAGTGAGTCATATTTTGCTTCAACAGGGTGAATGCGTTTTATTATCTTCCAGTACAAATGTATCGGACAGCCAGGAGTGCGTCAGAAAACCCGGAGGCGTATACGGCTCTAATTACACCACCACACAACTTCATCATGTTCTGTCTTGTACTGCGTCTTTATTATGACAGTGAGCAATGCGATCATTTCTGCAAGAGTGAGACAAAGGTGACGTCCTTTTTACTGCAGTTACAATTATTCACTTGGAATGAATAATTACTAATTAACTAATTTGCAGATTTAGCAGTTTCAGAGGTGCCAATTTAGTGAAGAAGGCATGGCCTTCCATCATTTCTTTCAGTTATAAGTGCACAACACTGAATTGCATCATGTATAACATTTTGCATGAAATAATTTAATATTCCATTGTTGTATATCTTTCAAACGTCGGACCGTTGATCACATGAACCTGGAAAGTGACCTGGCACAGTGACGGTCATAAAAGACGGAGACTATTTCTGCAAAACAGTTAGCATTTTCTTCTTACCCTAAATGTAGTTGAGCCAAGATTAGTATGTAGAGTTTGAAACTGCAAGGGAAATACAAGTGTCTAACAAGTAAAGGAAAACCGCCAGTTTAGCTTCTCTGTAGCTTTAGTACCAGAATCTCCACTCTTCTGGGAAGGCTTTCCACTAGAATTTGCAAGGTGGCTATGGGGATTTATGCTCGTACAGCATTAGTGAGGTCAGGCACTGATGTTGATTGAGGAGGTTTGGGGTTCAGTCGGTGTTCCAAAGGTGTTCAGTGGGGTTGAGATCAGGACTACTGTGTAGGGTATTTGAGTTCTCCTGCTCCAAACTTGGCAAACCAAGTCTTCATAAAGCTTGCTTTGTGCACAGGGGTACTGTCATGCTGGAACAAGTTTAGGCTTCTTAGTTCCAGTGAAGGGAAATTGTAACGCTACAGCACACGAAGACATTTATACTATTGTGTGCTTCCAACTTTTTGGGAACAGTTTGGAGAATAACCACACATGGTGATGGTCAGGTGTCCACAAACGTATGTCCATGCCGTGTAGATCGTGGTATCTGTAAGATACATTGAACAAACAACGAGCAGCTCTGTTTTGTTCTACACTATTTATTCTAATTGTAACTCTTACCATCTTCAGGTATCTGTGTGAGGCACGAGCAGGGTTTCGTCATGCTCATGCATCATAAATTTGCGTTATTGGATGGCAAGAAGCTGATCACCGGCTCCCTCAACTGGACCCTGTCAGCGGTGCAGAGGAACAAGGAGAATGTGATAGTGACCGAAGAGCCGGAGCTCGTCCGACCCTATGAGGCCGAGTTCAACAAGCTGTGGGACGCCAACGACCCGACCAAACACCCAGCACAAACACACAGCGGGAATAACACAAAGGGACTGCTGGCTCCCGCAAGAGACGAGTAGCTGGACACAGAGTTAGCTGGTTTTGACATGTTTAATTACTTTTGTTTTATATAGTATGATTATAGTGAAGTTTTTTCACTCTGGCTTTGTTACAGAATTTCAAGGAAATTATTCAAATTTTGTTATACTTATATAATTATAAGTATAAATTAATGTTTTATTTTATTATTATGTTTTCTTGAGTATAGATCTGATTAGGTTTTTATTAGATCATTTAAATATTTCAGGGACATGGAGAAGATTGCATTACTGTTGTTTGTTTACTTATTTTTTATTCTTTAACTACTTATCTGCTTTTATCCTCTTCAAGGATATTGAACGGTGGACGTGTTAAATACATATTGATTACCATGCTCAGTATCTGTTACTGTGCTTAAAATCTGAATCTGGTGCTGAGAGGGAAGAGAAATCATGCGTCCTACTTGAGAAGAACTAAACTGCAATGACTCAAGCAAAAATAAATCTGCTTTTATTGGCATAAATCTGGTTTTGTGTAAAAATATTCTCCTCCAGTTC